TCGTGAGGGAGGGGGGAGCGGGTAGGAAGGGGGAAAAATGTGCTGATGCCGTGGGCTTATGTGGTGAGCAAATGTTTTGAGAATGATGAGGGCAATGAATGTACAAATGTGCTTTACAAAATCGATGTTATGTATGGATTGTGATAAGAGATGTATTAGCCCCTAATAAAATGATCTTAAAGAGCAGCAAGAAAAAAAAAGGCAGCAAGAACCTTGAACCTGGTAATGTTTAGCTTTGCCGTTTACTCGTTGAGTACATATACTCACTCCTGTCTTTCCCTGACTTTCTTGTGATTTGTTATTTCACATTGACAGTAGTAAAACTGTTAGGTGTTGTCAAGTTGGTTCCGACTCAGTGACCCTATCTTCGCCAGAGTACTTTTGCAGCAGATTTGCCCTATGGGGTATTGCCTTATTATTTCCTGTCTGCTGCTTAGGGCACACATTCACAGGTTTGTCTGTCAGTGACAGTGGCAGCAATAGTAATGAAAGACGCTGAGAAAAATCTGCCTTGGCAATAGTAATGGTGACTGTATGGCTATGGTTATGTGCTATGTGTCTCCTTGGTACAACCTTGATTTTCAGAGTTTTGGCAGTTGTGTATTATATTTATCATCCATTTTGTGATCAAATTTCGTGTAATTACCTGGTCTTTGGAACCCAGTCATGTCCATAAGTGAGTGGACAAAGTGTTTTAATTTACATTTGAATAGGGGAGCTTCAAAAAGTTTATCGGGGAAATTCCATTATATTTTGTTTACTTATGGCATATGTTTATTTGACACAAATATCTGTAAACATTGACATCTAAATGTGCTTTGAATTTTGGAAAACAGGTTTTTGGATCGATGAATCTCCTAAGATTTTTCTATCCCAAGATTTGTTTCATGTGGCCATAGTGATTTTCACCACTCCTTCCATACACAAAATTCTAGACTCAAGCAATGTAGTGAAAATTGCCTTCTAGTTATGTGGCATCAAATGGATTACTTTGTCTTTTTCCTGGTACCTGTTGAAAGGTGTTCTAATGCATATCTGTTCAATAGATTGGGAAATTTTTGAAGGAATTGTTTTATTAGGTCAGTAAAGTTTTTTAAGTGTTTGACTAAGAAAATATATAGGTGTGAATCACTCCTAATAGTATTGTTGCTTGCTACTAATTTATTTGAACAAAGAAGGGAAAGGTAGTAAGTAACTTGTCATGAGTGTCTTACAGCATAAATTGTAGGTTTCATTTATTAAATGACAGAACTTAGTGTTACCAACTTTATTTTAACCTAAGGATACATTTATTGTTTCTGTAAGCTTTATTAAAATTGTAAATGGTTTGTTAATCACTTCAAGGGTGTGTTGCTGCTAACCACCCAACAAGATTTAGTCAGTTTCTTTTAATCCTACCAGTCTCTTGGCCAAAACGCAAATCCGTTGCCGTTCAACTCCATGATCCTCCAGTATGGAGTAAAATTTCCCATGAAATATCCAAGGTAGGACTTCACCACCACTTTACCAGGGTGCCTTATATACCATATACCAGTCTATAGGTGACGTAAAGCAGAGTTTGTTTGGGTGTCTTGCTGCCTCTTTCTGACTCTGGCCCCTAGCAAACCCTCTGACAGAGTAGAACTGCTGCTCCAGAGACTTTCCAGGCTGAAATCTTGACAGAAGCAGGTCTCCAGACCTACTTTCAGGTCTTCAGACCTGCTTTCTAATACAGAGCACAGGTCCGCTCAAACCACCAACTTTTCAGCCAGCAGCCAAGCACTTAAACTTTGTACCACCAGCTTGCAGGTTTTTCTTAATTGAGGTTGCTTTGAAATGTGATCTTCCTTCCTCCACTGCCCTGGCCCTTGCCCTTTGCCACCACCAGTATTCCTATCCTGCTCCTTGGTCAGCCACACCCTGCCAAGGGCTGGGTAGTTCTGCCCACAGGCTCCCTCTACAGGCTGCTCAACCCCCTTTTGCTGCAGATATTTCAGTGTACCAAATGTAATGTTTTAATATGCATACACAGGTACAGTCTGTGTTGACAAACATTTAACATTCTATGCAAACTACCTGAATATTGTTTTAAAGGCATTTAAGAGCAAATTTTAATTTCCCAAAGTAATGTATATTATTTTTACCCACAGCCTTCCCTTGGTTTGGCATGGATATTGGAGGAACGCTGGTAAAGCTCTCGTATTTCGAACCTATTGATATCACAGCAGAGGAAGAACAAGAGGAAGTGGAGAGTTTAAAAAGTATCCGCAAGTATTTGACTTCTAACGTGGCATATGGATCCACTGGAATTCGAGATGTGCACCTGGAACTAAAGGATCTAACCCTTTTTGGCCGAAGAGGGAACTTGCACTTTATCAGATTCCCAACCCAGGACCTGCCTACTTTTATTCAAATGGGAAGAGATAAGAACTTTTCAACTTTACACACGGTGCTATGTGCTACAGGAGGCGGTGCTTACAAGTTTGAAAAAGATTTTCGCACAGTAAGTATCCTTTCCTAAGTTAAAACTGAAAATTGTTAGATGCCCCGTTTAGTGTTTTTTCCCAAATTTTAAAAATGTAAGAAGACTAAATGCCCACCTGCCAAGTTCCTCAGATCGATTCCCCCTGGTGAACAGAGGTAGAATTCTTAACTAGCTTTTGATCTTGAGCATTTAAGACACTTTTATAAGATGATCAAATTGTCCAGATTTACTTCTAACACCAGCCTATGTGGAATCAGATTTACAATACATATTTTAATGAGTGAAGGTGCAAGTGGTTTTATAGCGGGAAGAATGTAATCGATATGACTAAATTATGCATGTAAAAACTTTTACTATATATGTTCAACAAAATAAAATTAGAAAAATCTTCCCTTTAAAAAAGAAAAAAAAGATTTTGGCAGTAGATCGTGGTGATTGTATCACATTGTGGGTGTAATTACTGCTGTTGAATTATACACTTGAAATGGCTTAAGCAGCAAATATTTTGTTACTTGTTTTAACCACAATAAAAACGGTTTGTTTGTTTGACAGATTGGAAACCTCCACCTGCACAAACTGGATGAGCTTGATTGCCTTGTAAAGGGCTTACTGTATATAGATTCTGTCAGTTTCAATGGACAGGCAGAGTGCTATTATTTTGCTAATGCCTCAGAACCTGAGCGATGCCAAAAGATGCCTTTTAACCTGGATGACCCTTACCCATTACTGGTTGTGAACATTGGTTCGGGAGTCAGTATTTTAGCAGTTCATTCCAAGGACAACTATAAGCGAGTGACTGGAACCAGGTAACTGGAATCTTTTTTAATCTTACCTGTAGCATTCAAATTTGTATATACAGAAGTTATTAAATTAATTATTCTACATCTTACTTGTTGGTCATTATTAGTTGTCGCCACAATTTCCACAGTGGTAAGAGTGATTTTTTCCCCCAGAAATATTTCACTAACTTTAATTACAAAACTATGATGACAGCTGGCAAGCTCCAAGCCCTGCTTAGAACAGCTAATGTGCCAATCCATCTCCCCAAGGGTGCCCTTCATCCTCGATAGTTCACTAACATGTCATCCAGCAATTGATCTCTCCAAAAGCAAACAAGCCCAAAAATATTCTGTATGGTCCATAAGGTAAGGTTTCTTTGGCAAACTTTTAGAAGTAGATCACCAGATCTTTCTACCTGGTCCAGTGGTTCTCAACCTTCCTAATGCTGCAATCCATTAATATAGTTCCTCATGTTGTGGTGACACACACACACACACCCCACCACCGCCATGAAATTATTTTCTTTGCTACTTCATAACTGATTTTGCTACTGTTATGAATCAGGTGACCCCATGCGAAAGGGTTATTCGACCCCCGGAGGGGTTGCCACCCACAGGTTGAGAACCCCTGGCCTGGTCTGACAGCACTGCTGAAACCTGTCAACCATACTGGTCTTGGAAATACAACTTCTAGCATCATAGCAACATGCAGGCTGGTGTATATTTTTGCTCCAGAAGATTCTTCTCCC